GTGCCGCTGGAGGGGATGGTGACGACGTCGACATGGACGGGGCCGTCCACTTCCTCAAGAGCGGCGACTGGCTGGACAAGCTGGTCTCTAGTGAAGGTGGCGTCTCCCGAACGCAGCTGGAGGCTGCGCTCGACGGCGCTGCATCCGCATGCAAGAAATCACGGGCGGGGTAGCCACAGCGCGCCTCGCCACGGGCCGAGGGCCCCAAGTTTTTGGAAAATCATCTCCGCCAATGTCACTGATCGCTCTGGGCTTGACATGTTCCTCTCCTCCCTCTCCGTGTTGCAGGCTCATCTTGTCGGTGTGCAGGAGGCGCGGGTGGTCGAGGTTGAAGCCATGGAGCACAAGCTCAGGAGACAAGGGTGGAGAGGTAAGTATTCATCCGCTGTGGCCACGAGTGGTGGTGGCTTGTCGGGTGGTACTCTTCTTGCTGTTTCAAAGCATGTGGGCTTGGCGCAGGTTGAATGTATTCCTGTTGAGTTGCAGAAGGGGAGGGTCATGATCATGCATGTGGGGGGACTCTTCCCTGGAGGTTTCCTCGCGTGTACTCTCTATCTGCACTGTTCCATCGGTCTTGCCCCCGCCAACTGGGGCCTCCTCTGTCGGTTGGGGGCGCAGCTCAAGATGGCTAGCATGCCTTATATCGTCATGGGCGATTTTAACGTGGAGCCCGATGTGCTGCTGCACTCGGGCTGGATTGATGCAGCTGATGGTGTTGCGATCCATGCGTCTGCTGGCACCTGCACCCCTGCTAATCGTGTCATAGATTTCTTTGTGGCGTCGCAGGCGCTGTCCTCGGTCGCCAAGGCGTCGCTGGTGAACGACGTTGCCATCGCGCCTCGCACGCCTGTCCAGTTGAGTGTTCGTAGCCTCTCCAAGCTCCCGCAGGTCAGGATGGCCAAAGTGCCTCGCAAGTTTCCTCGTGAGTTGCCCATTGGTTGTCGTCAAGAACCGCGTCCTGCCAGGTGGGAGCAAGCTGCCCGTGCCATGGAAGGTTCGTCTCTGAGCACCTCCTGGAAAGTTGCTGCATCGGCTGCTGAATTGGAGTGGATTGAAGTCTTTCAGATTCCCCCAGATCTCTCCAGAGCCTACTTGGGAAGAGCTGGGGGTGTCCGTGTGGGGTGGTATCGTCCTGCGCGTCCTGCTCCCGTTCCTTTTCCACGGTTGTGCCCCCAAGCTGTCTGGTGGCGCACGCTGGCCCTGGTCCTCAAGAGCTTCACGAGGCCCCAGAATGGTGCTCAGTTCGCCCAGGCCCATGAAGCGAGCTAGGTACCTCCAGAGCCTGCCCGATGTGCCCACCTCGGACTTGGCTGTTGCCTTCCTGAGGGCCCTGGACCGCATCCGTGTCTTGGATTTCGCGGTCGTCGAATATCTTGCCAGCATTGCAGCCGTGCACGCCGGGCGCTTGCACAAGCAGGCCTCCCAGCTGAAGAATGTCAACTGGGACAGATGGGTCAAAACCCACTCAGTGGGAGGTGCGGCTGCTCTGTTTAAGTATGTGCAATTGCCTGACCATTGGCAACAATCCACCCTCGACTCCTACACCCTCCGACCCAACACCAGCATGGGGGAAGTGAATGCGTTGGAGAGGGAGTGGAGTGAGTGGTGACAGGTGGGGAAATTGCAGCCCCCCCTCGAGTGGCCTGAAGATTTAGGGGTAAGACCGCCGCCACCTTCTACGCAAAAACTCAAGAAGGTTTTAATGACCTTTCCTGCAGGCACAGGCTGCGGCTATGATCAGATCCCGCCTAGGATGCTCTTGTACCTTCCTGAGGCGGCGCTGCAGCTGCTGTGTGACATCATTGCCAAGATTGAAGATAATGTGGAATGGCCCCCATTTACCGCGAAGATTGTTTTTTTTTATATTGAAGCGTCTTGGCGGTGTACGTCCACTTGGCCTGCTGCATTGCCTTTGTCGTATCCAAGCACGATTGCGTAGACCTCTGATTGCTCAGTGGCAGAAGCGCAACTTCCGCAGTTTCTGGTGGGGCACGAAGGGCAAGAGTGCTGACATGTGTGTGTACAGTCAAGCAGTATGGGCTGAATATTACCAGGCGGAAATATTGTATTCTGCCACTCTGCTTCTTGATGTAAAGAAGGCCTTCGAGCTGGTCGAGCACCATCACTTGCTTGCTGCTGCGAAGGCCACAGGCTTTCCGCTTTGGCAACTGAAGCTGTTAGTACTCGTGTATCGATCGCCCCGTTTACTGGACCTGCAGGGGATCGTCGGCAATTTCGTGGTCGCCGAAACGACGATTATTCCAGGTTGTGGTTTCGCTACCGTCCTTCTGCAATTGATCCTCCTGGGGCCCCTCGACATCGTTCAACGTGAGCACAGAGCGGTCTGCCTGTCGGTCGTAGTCGATGATTTTGGCTTGCATCGATCGGGAGAGCGTGGGCGCGTGCTCGCAGATGTAGCAGGTGCTGGTATCACTTTGCAGCGTGAGCTTCAGCAAGTCGACTTGCGGCTTGCGCTGGACAGGACTCGCGTGCTAGCTAGCAACACCGTGCTGCGCGATCAGCTAGCGAGTAAGATTGTGTCGCTGAGGGCCCAAGGAGTTGTTCATGAGCGCAACGTCGGCGTTGATTTTAGTTCTGGACGTTTTCTCAAAAGGGCCACTCGGAGATCCAGGATCAAGGTTTCCAAGGACAAGCTGAAACGTCACAAGCATCTCCAGGGTGGTGCCGCCAGGAGGCGCATACTGGCCATCGTGGCCAGAGCGCCCCTCGAAACTGCCGTTTCCTTTGGGACCTCGGCGCAGGGCACTGCCGTGCAGGAGTTGGACCATTTGAGGTCGCAGGCCGCCGCCGCTCTTGATTCGAAGATGAGTGGGAAGAGTCGCACGTTATCCCTGGCCCTTGCTCCTCAGCAGTGCTATGATCCTATTTGGCGGGCCACTTTGGAGCCCATCAAGGCTTTCGCCACGGTCCTCTGGTCTCGCCTCGTTCCTCGGCATGTTCTGGAGCGCGGCCTCAATGCGGCCCAGGTCGAGCTAGCGGGGAAGGCCGACCTTTGGCCACTGGTTCGCGGGCCTTCCGGGGCCCTTTATGCTACTGTGGACGGGGTTGGGATCGTCGTGGTCGAGCCTCTGGTTTGGAAGTTACCTGATGGTCTTGAGCTGAGGTTGGAATATATTTGTCCCAGGGTCCTCATGCACTGCTGTAGGCAAGCCATTCGGAGCTGGATCAACCAACAGGTTGCTAAGCATCTGGTGCGTCCTAAGTTTCGCAATGGTTTCTGGAGTGGGCCCCTGAAGTACCTCCTCAGCAAGGACCCCCTCAATTGGCAGCAGCGTGGTTATCTTCGGAGTGCCTCTATTGGAGCTCAATGGCCGCGGCAACGGCAATTTCAACAAGGCTGGACTGCCTCTCCCACTTGCCTAGCATGTAAGAGTGCCCCTGGCAGCCTCCTTCACAGGCATGTTGGCTGCTCTAAGATGCTGCAGACAATGGAAGAGGCACTCCCAGTTCCAATCAGTCTCATGAGGCCACATGTGGATCAGAATCCTCTGGGGCGTCTGCTTCTTGAGCGTGGTTTCCTGCCCCTGCCTCAAGTGCCTCAGCATTTGTTGCAGATGCCAACCGATGCTGAGTTCAAGTGGCACGGTGACCCGCAGGCGCTCACTGGTGATTTGTATCTTGATGGGTCTTTTTTGACCGACTACCCTGATCGTGGATTCTCTGCTTGGGCTGTGGTTGCGCTCGCAGCGCACAATCACACGTGTACTTGCACCTCGACAAGTCTATTGCCCTACCCGTTGCAAGACATCGACGGAGCAGAATTGTTTGCTTTCTATGCTTCCCTTCTGTTTGCAGTGCCGCCCGCAGTATTTCACACGGACTCGAATTTCGTGTGGCGTGGTGTGAACGTTCGAGGTCCAGACGTTACCACGCATGCTTCGTCTGCCTGGGCCTGTCTGTGGAAAAAGGTCTGGCTGAAAATCGATGACTGGGGAGGAGATTCGCCAGAAGTAAGGAAGGTGAAAGCACATGTGGCTGATGTTGGTGTCGACTCTGGGCGTTTCTCTCTCAGGGACAAGCTTGGGAATGATGCTGCCGACCTGGCGGCTAAGAAGCGTGCTCGTGAATTGCGTGTGCCACCTGATTTTTCGAAGCTGCTCAACACGCAGAGGAAAATGGTGGGACTGACGGGGAGGTGGATTGCGAGAGCAGGTGAGTCGGCTGCTTCTGTTGATTGCTTGCATCGCCAGCGCCCTAGCACCTCAGCAACCCCCTCCCTAATCATTGTCAAGCCAGAGCCCCCCACCCTTGAGCAGAGGATCCTCGCCGCACAGGTCTCGCTGCGTGATGCTGGGTCTAGAGCTCATCACGTGGGGACTTTTCTTGTTGATTCTAAGCCTGTCTTCTGCTGCATGTCCTGTGCTTCGTTCACCACCTCCCGCGTGGTGTCACTAGCTGCAGAATGTAAGCCCCTCAGGCTCTCGAAAGACCGCAGGCAAATCCTCGATCGCCTGCGATGTGGTGAATTCAAGCTAGATGGCGCGTGGAAGCGCGCCTTGGATCTTCGTATGTTGAGCATGCCGACCGTGGCGGTCGGTGCTCCTGTCCATGCTTCGCCTAGCCATCGGCTGGGTCGTCTCCTCACGCAACGTTGTGAGGCCTTGCCTGCTGTGCTCGACACAGTGTCATGCCGTGTCGAGCCCAGCTGCTGACGAGCCTGCGGTGGCGGAAGTGGTATCGAAATGCGCCACCCGCATGGCTCCCGCCCGAAGTGGACGGATTCCGTCCGCTCTGGATCTGTGCCCAGGCGGAGGAGAAGGAGGAGGAGGAGGAGGAGAAAAGGAGGAGAAAGAGACAGGAGGACGAGGAAAAGGAGGAGGAGGAGGAGGAAGAGGGGCGGGCATTACACGCTCTCGCCCGGGAGCCTCGCCGAAGGCATGGACCATCGGCGCCCCTGGATACATGTATTGTTCTCCCCTGGGCTGCTCGCCCCAACAGTCGCCTCTGAGAGGAAGAGGGGCGCGCGCGCGCGCGGGCGCGGAGGTCCTTCTCTGGCGAGGTGGGCCAGACAGGGTCACCTCCGCCCCGGCCGCCCCGGGGCGCGGGCAGGCGCCGCTCGCCCCCGGCCTCGGGAGGCAGGTCAGGCGAGGTGAAGTGAGGTCAGGGATCCCTGACCTCACTTCGCCCTCCCTCAGCCCGTCGCCACACATTCAACTGCGCGTGAGGAAACAGCCTAGGACAAACCTGCGAAGCAGCGTGGATAATGTAGCCTAGGAGAAGCGTGTCGAGGGAAGATGGGTGGTCCGGGGCGCCCAGGGGCGCCCATCTTCGGGGGCGGAGGGGGTTAGTCTGGTTGCCAAGGGAGCCTAGGGAGCCTGGGGGTCGCCATCCCTGCCGCTGGGGAAGACGGCGGGGCCCCTGCGCAGTTGCATGGATGCACGACCCTTCGTGCCTGGACGGGGGCCTGCCTGCTTGGAGCACAGCGGGGCCTCCCGGGCCCGGCCGCCGAGCCGTCGGCGGAGGGGCAGCTCCGTTGCTCGCCGGAGCGCCGAATGCGACGGGGGAGGGGGCCCTGCCCGAATCTGAGAGGAGATGGGGGAGGGACCTGCCCGCCCGAAATGGGTACCGAAAGAATGGGTCCGATGCCCAACAACAAGTGTTGTCCCAAACCAACAGCGGCCGCTGTTGGGCAGGCGGCCTTCTGTCTCAAATGGACACAGGCCGCTGCGGCGCGGACAGCGAGCCCTGTCCAAAATGAACAGGAACTGCTGCTGGGCATCGTACCCATTCTTTCCGTACCCATTTCGGGCGTCCAGGAAGGTCCTGGCGGCTCGATCTCTTCGAGCCCGGCGGTTTCGCCCAGCTTCGGACCCTCACGGATCCTCACGGACCGATCTGGGTCGGAAGGTGGCGCCGAAAGATGGGGTCCAGGGCTCTGACAGCGATGGTTTGCGATGTTGCATTTTTACTCGCGACGTCGGATCTCAAGGATCTCAGGGAGCAGAAGAAGACAACTGATGCTCCGCCAGCCACCTTGGGGGCCAACAGGCTGCGAGGCGCAGGTGGTTATGTTCCCTGCATCAGTTTCAACTCCCAAGTTTTAGCTATAGATGTATTTTTGTGTTGGTACCACCGTTGTAATGATTGAAATCCGCGCGAGGGGGGACCCCGAACATTATCTGGTTCCTCCCCAAAAGGCACATACTCAGAACTTCTGGGGATGCCCTGGGACATATTAATGTTAGGAAACCAGATTCCAGCTCCCAAAATCAATCCCTTGCAAACTACCCAGGCTTGCGCCCACGAAGCAATAGCACCTGGTGAATTACGCCAGCATCGCGCTCCCCGAACCACAAACCAAGGTAAATTGCGGCATGTTCGTACTCCCAGACCTCACCCCCTCGTAAATATTACGCCATGCTTGCGCTGCCAAAGCCACACTCCCCCTCGTAAACATTATGTTGCGCCTTCGCGCCCACTAGGCAACAGGCCCTTGTCAATCACGACAGGTTCGCGCTCCAGAGGCAACACCCCTTCCTAAATTACTACTAGCCTGCGCTCCCGAAGCCGCAAACCCTCGTCAATTGCGACGCCGTGGCGCTCCCGAAGCCACACATCCTGGTAAATTACGCACGGCTCGCGCTCCCAAAGCCACACTCCAATGTAAATTACGCCAGGCTCGCGCTCACGCGGCCACACCCCCTCCCAGAGTATGACAAGCTTGCGTCTTCGAAGCCGTAGCCCACCGAAACTTGCTGCGCGCTGGCGCTCCCGAGGCCCACGAAGCCAATCCACGGCGGTCGCACCAGAACACCTCCAGAGCGGAAGCACCTGCAGTTGCTGTACTGTGATCTGTGTAAGCCTCGAACCCTCTCAACTTGCAGCGGGAGCGCGCTCGCGAGGCCACCGCCAATCCCAACCTCTGGAGGGAGCAGGAGGCACCGATACCGCTGCTCCCCGGACCTCTCCCGGGGTGCGTTCCGACGAGCATTTCGAGGCGAATCCAGCCGCGGCGACGAGGGCCGCCCGGGCCCAAAAAGGGGAAAACGAGCGCAGTGTGGAGGTATAGGGTACCTTTCTCTATTCTGAATTTTGAGTTTGGCAACAGGTCAATCAGCAGACTTGCCAGCCGGCCAGGCATGCGTGGTGAAATTATTACCCCCTACCGTTGTCCAGAGTTGCTTGTCGCCCGCCGCGGGTAACACTGCTTTACACTACGAGGGCAAAGCCGTTCCATCAATATTGCAGCCGAAATCTGGCAACGCGAGATCGCTTAATCCAAAAGACAATTCATTGGCGCGCGCGTTGCAAACAACTGACAGACGCATTGGGCCAAAGGACTCGTTCGCCGAACTTTGGAACAGTTACCGCACAGGCGAAGATCACATAACATTAGCGATCAGGCTAGTCCAACGGGGGGAGATCAGCCCGCGCAGCAATCTTCCAGGGGAAAGCCGCCGAGATGGGGACCTCCCAAATTGTCTGAACTCACCCTCGAGCTGATGTCCAAAACGGTTTGGGGATAACTATGTCAGACCCGAGGGAACTAACAAAGTTATCCCCAAGCCATAGAACCCCTGGACCCCACATGCCTCTGAACGCCCACACGTCGAGACACGTCGCGCCTTGGCGCGCCCCCAGGAAGCCTCTCGCGAGGCAAAACAACGGAAAAAACATATGTAAATGACTACCCCCGAACTCGTTCCACGTCGCCCGCCATGCCCGCAATCGCGCCGGGGCGCAACCGTTCCTGCTCCGCGCCCCCCAGCAGAATGACGAGCCGTAGCTCCAAGCAAACAAACAATTAGATTGGCGAGTTGCAGCCTGTCCAAACGAGGTGCGTCAGCGTTTGAGCCAAGGGCGCACTCGCGCCTCCGAACAAACGGGGCGCAACCTGCGAGATGTCTCCCCCGGACAGGGGTCGGGATAAGTACACGTCGGTCGGAAGAAGTAGGTAGAAGCATGAAGTGGGAAGGCTGATGAAGTGGATTGTGTCCGGGCCCTCCCAGAGGAATAGAAAAACACAGCAACAGCATGTCGATTCTTGAAGTAGGAAGGCGCTTGAAGAAGATGGGGATCTGGGAATCCAAAGATACATACTTTCAACGACCGGCGTGTATTTCGCAGCGGAAGGCAGGCAAGAACGCAGACCAACCTGCCAACCAAACGTGGCCGTGGCAGCAATCTGCAAGGGGGGCCGGCAGCAGAGGGCGACGAGAGCCTTCAGAACGTGAGCAACCATGAGCACCATCAGTCGATGAAGGAATGCACACAAGAAAAACCATGAAATAAGAATAATCCTACGAAGCAATGGTAACACAAAGAACAACAACAAATGGCACACACACACTCACTTTCGGAGGTCCGCGCGGATCTCTCCGATCGGCGCCGCAGCCACCCACGAAAAGCGTGGACAGCATCGGCTCGTCATCAACTTGTGAGGTTAATGTTGTCGAAGATTGTAAGCCTGCCTGGCTCCCCCCGGCAGCCGAAGCCCTCAACTCAGATGGTTTCGGGGCTGTAGTGCCTCGACTTACCCTTGCCGCCTCTTGCTGGAGGACACGTCCACGTGAACGGGGAGTACCAACGTACCAGACATTTCGAAAATAAGACGCACAACGAAGAATAACACTTTTTTTAATACTTGTACGTCGTATTCCAAGCTGCACTCATGAATCGAGCGGGCGCCGCGAAAGTGAACGGCAATTCTTCAAGCTCGGACCGTGCACGACGAATCCGCCTGACAACTGTCGGGCCACCGAACTGCGGTCGTTCTGTTCTGGGAAAAGCTTGCGCTAGAACTTCTTTGTTGGGGTCACACTTCGCGGAGCGCGCGCTTGCGCTGCCCACCCCAAGGGGAACAAGGAAGACGAGGAGAATGAGGACGAATAATCGCGAATCGCGGATCACCTCGCGCCCTTTGGGCGGTTTTTCGGCTCGTGGGTACCCGTGAGCGCCGCGAGTGCCCGAAATGTGATACCCTGCAACTCACCTTGGAGGCACAGCATGGGCGCCCTGCCGCTATTTTTGTTCTCCATGGTGAGTGCCGTTGGTGCCCAGTAGTACCGCACAAGGAACGCACCATACGTGCTGCAGCAATCACACCGATCATAGATACTTACGGATGTGCACACACTAAAACCATCGCGCGCGCTTCGCGCGCTCAAGTTCTAGCTAGGATCATCATCATCGTCATCATGACCATCTTGACCCCCCCATCATCTTCATAGTGATCATCATGGTCATGTTAACCATCAGCATCACACAGCGTCATCCCCATCAGCGTCACTTTCACCCACATCATCAGTATCAGCATCATCATCAGCAACATCGTCATCATCATCATCAGCATCAGCATCATCCTCATATACATCATCAGCATCATCACCATCACCATCAACATCAACATCAACATCATCAGCAACATCATCATCATGCGCATCATCAACATCATCATCATCATCATCATCAGCAGCATCATCATCATCCGCATCATCAACATCTGATTCGGCGCCGTCGGCATAAACATCGTCAACATAAACGTCATCGCCGTCATCATCTCTGGCCTACTGCAGTCCCCTTCCCCTCCTCCGTTTTCCCGTTTTATCTATCCCCATCATCCTGTACTCATCCTCCTCATCGACGGCGTCTCCCTGAAGAGAATCCCTGTTGTTTCACCACCTCCTCCTCCTCCTCGTTCCTGTCTTCCAGCTCTCTTCAACATGTCCCTCCTTGTGTTCCTTCACCTCCTTCACCTCTCTCCTCCTCCTCCTCTCGAGTCATCTTCATCCTTCGCTCCCCTTCCCTCCTCGTCCTCAGCGTCCCTCCCCGAGCCCGAGAATCCGAGAGCAAGAACACCTTACAGAACCAATGTGAAACCTGCTGCTCTGCGCCTGTGGAGGACGGCGCGCCACCGAGGGTGACGCGCCCCTCACACGGAGCGTGCCCCCCCCGGAGCTCCGCGAACGGTGCCAGGGACAGAGTACGCACGGCGTCTCTCAACCCATCGCGGCAAGCCCTTCGCACGGCTCTAGTGGGAGCCGCCTGGGGGCGTCGCGGAAGCGTCTTGGGGACCCTTGCGCCCATCTTGGGGCCATCTTGGACCATCTCGGCGGCCTCCAAGGCCGTCTTCAGGCCATCCCGGGTCGTTTTGGAGCCGTCTTGTGAGCCTCTGGAGCGAACTTGAAGCTATCCTGGAGGCGTCTGGGCATCCTCATGGAAGTACGTGGAGAGTTCGTTCGGATCCCGTGGCAGGTCTCTCGGGGACTTCCTTGAAGCAGTTTGCTCGGGCATGTCCTCCTACAGGGGGAATGTGGTCGAACAGATTTTAAAAAATTGTCAAACGATATTCGAACATGTTGAAAAAATACTCGAAACATCGTCCCATGACTAGTTCTTAACTGTTTCCGAATATTCCTCCTGTAGAGGGATGGGCCCGACTTAAAGGCCATTCCGCGAAGCCTTGGGGCCCGTTCCGGTGCCTGTTCGGGGTCGAAGTGCGGCCTCTGCGGCGCCTCTCGGAGACCTCTTGGGGTTCTCCTGGGGGCCTCTGGCAGCTTCTGGGGGCCTCCTGGGATGCCTCTTGAGGAGGGAGGAGGGAGGAGGGAGGAGGGAGGAGGGAGGGGGAGGAGGGAGGGGGAGGAGGAGGAGGAGGAGGAGGAGGAGGAGGAGGAGGAGGAGGAGGAGGCAGACCGAACAGTTCGGTCGGATCCCCCGCCTGGGCTTCTCCTCGGAGCAGAGCTGTCTTGAGGCCCTCTTGGGCCGTCTTGGAAGCCTCCTGGGCCGCCCTGAGGCCCTCTTAGGCCATCTTGGGACCGGCGTGGGGGCCTCTTCGTCGGCCGTCTTGGGGCGACCTTGGGAGCCTCCTGGGCCGTCTTGCAGCATCGGGAGGCCGAAAAGGCGAGAACCCCCAAAACCGCGCCGGAACCGCCCCCAAACAAATATGGGAAACGCTTGCAAAACGGACGGGTGGGGCTGCACACCGGGTTCTCGAACCACCCCTCCCCAAGGCAAGGGCGGAGGAAGGTTCGAACCAGGTTCCCCTTCTCTCCTCTCGTCACCGACAATATGACTATGTGTACACCATTTCAAAATGACTCCGAAGCCAAATGACCACCCGAAGAATCGACATTCACTCTGGGAGGCAACACGCGTGCCCCGGTCGGAATTGGTACTAATAGCGTTCTGACAGACAGAACTTCTTGTGTTGAAAATCTCAACGGTTGTCAATTTCAATGGATTTTTAGGGCTGGCGCTTGAGAGCCTGACTGTTTCGTCAGACACTTACGTGAAGCTTCGTGCTACGTGGCTTTAGCGTGTGAGAGCCGTGAGAAGTGCATCAAAGAGCAGCACAACAACCAAAACGAAGTGCGAGCACAAGTCTGAAAACACGGCAACTTGCATGTATATTTCGATCGTGCACATATACAAGATTCACATGCGAAATGGAACCAGAAGGCAAGCTTCATGTGCGCAAACGGCACAAAACGAGCTGCGACCAGCATCCAACAACAATATATACGAGTCTACCCGTTTTAACATGTGACAGCCGTAAGAACCTCGCTGACTCCAGCCTCCCGCGTAAATATGTAATACCCACTATTTTCCCCATCTGGAGAGTGCAAAGAAGCGCCCCGACCACTGCCTTCCGCCGCTGTGTCAAATTTCCCGTGTGTTTTCAACGCGACTTCTACGGGACACGCGTTGATCACAGCCTCCAGCTGAATGGCTTCGCATGTTATTGAAGGGGCCCTGGGGCACACAAATAAATACACACAAATAACAGGATTCCCCATATGTTCTAATATGTTCTGGGTTTCCGTCTTCCCCCCCACTTCCAATAGTTTCCAACTTTTTGGGGTGGAAATCGACGATGAATTGTGTCTGTGTGTTTTTTCCCCTCCTGAGTTATACGCTTGTTTCCACATGCACTCAGCAGGAGAAGGGGGGCAAAGCGACCCGGCGGCGGCAGGACGGAACGCGGGGGCCGAACGGCTCGGCGGCGGCGGCGGAGGGCACGGTGACTCGCTCGGCCGCCCTCCCCCTCCACGGGCTCGGGGCCCCCTCCTCCTCCTCCTCCTCCTCCTCCTCCTACTCCTCCTCCTCCTCCTCCTCCTCCTCCTCCTCCTCCTCCTCCTCCTAGGAGCTCCTCCTCCTCCTCCTCCTCCTCCTCCTCCTCCTCCACGGGCTCAGGGGCCCCCCGAAACCCTGAGGGCAAGAGACGCTTCAACTGGAAGCGTCGCCCTCGGAGGTTTAGGGAACACCGCGCCCGCAAGGGAGGAGCCTGAGACCGAAGGATTCGGCGGCGGCAGCGGAGGACAAAGTGACCGTTCATCCACCCCCCCGCCCCCCATGGATTCGCCCCCTCCCCGTGAGCTTCCGAGGGCACGAAGCGCTTCCATTGAAAATCTCGGTGGCTTGGGGATACCCGCGCCGCAGGCAAGGAAGCGGGGGCCGAGCGACTCGGCGGCGGCGGCGGAGGGCACGGTGACTCGTTCGGCCCGCCTTTCCCCCCATGGGTTAGCCCCCCCCGCCACCGAGACCCTGAGGGCGCGAAACGCTGCCATTGGAAGCGTTGCCCTCGGGGGTTCGGGGGAGACCCGCGCCAGCAGGACAAGGAGCGGGGAACGATCGATTCGGCAGCGGCAGCGGGGGGGAAAGTGACCTGTTTGGCCCCCCTCTTCCTCCCCATGGGTTTGGGGGCCCCCCGAACCTCCGAGGGCGCAAAGCACTTCCATTGGAAGCGTCGCCCTCGTGGGCTTGAGACGCCTGCGCCCGCGGGAGGGGGGCCGAACGATCCGGCGACGGCAACGGAGGGCAAAGCGACCCGCTCGCCCCCCCTCGCCTTCCCCGCGGGTTCGCCCTCCCCCCCCCCCGAACTTCCGAGTGCACGAAACTGTACCGTCCCCCCGCTCTGCAGAACACACGGCAAAGTCCACAGACAGCTGGGGACACTCGCTACGACTGCGACTGCGTGCGCAGCCCCCCCCCCCGCACAAAGTCCACGGAGTCCGCGTGGACCTCTCCTTCGTTCGATGCCTGCTTCCAGCGAGCGGACTGTGCGTGTTCTCGCTGAGCCTCCCTCCTCCTCCTCCTCCTCCTCCTCCTCCTCCTCCTCCTCCTCCTCCTCCTCCTCCTCCTCCTCCTCCTCCTCCTCCTCCTCCTCCTCCTCCTCCTCCTCCTCCCCCCGGGAGCCCCGCCGTCGGCATGAACCGAGGCCGGGCGTACGCGTGCTTCATCCGGTCGGCCAGCGCCACCTGCACGGGGGACAGGACAGCAAGCTTGCCGAGCCATCTCTCCCCGGTCCTGCCCCTCCTCCTCCTCTTAGGTCGGGCGTGTGCCCCTACAGGGGGATTTTACACGAAGAATAAAAATGGTCAAACAAAATATTCCAACATGGTCAAATAATGCTCGAAACATCGTCCCCTGACTATTCAATGTGTTTGACTGTTTTTGCATATTCCTCCTGTAGAGGGACAGGCCCGACTGAATCCTCCTCCTTGGTTCGTCCTCGTCCTCAGCGCGCAGAGGACCCGCCTCACGAGTCAGGAGGCACGGGGTGCCGGCCAGGCAGCGGCTCGGAGTCTTGGGGTCCTGACTGTGTCTACACCCTGCGAAATGCTTAAGAAATCATGGGTCAAGAAATTCACAGTCTCAGAAATTTACTAAAAACCCAGAATTTCTATGAACATCTTAGGATTTACATGGAAACATTAAGAATAATCGAGACTCTGGCCGAAAACTTAAGCTTTCTTAAGCATCGCCTAAGGTGTACCTGGGGGGGGGGCCCTCAATGTTTGTGCTCTCTGCAGGGCGCGTTGGGACAACTTGGACGCGCTCGCTCCGCGGTGCGTCGTCTCGCTACTGGCTTCAGTGACCATGATGCGGCTGCCCTGGCCGACGAATTTGTGGCGCCGCAGACCTCCTGCTTCGCCTGCAATCGGAGGGAGCTGAACCCAATGTCGAGTTTTGCGGATGCTCGCATCAGTCCTTGACGCAAAAGCGCGAACACGTGTCGAACAATTCCAAAGAGCAACAAGATGAAATCCGCCGACCCTGTCGGCGTGTGTGAGGGGCTTGTCCGTTCAAGTCGTCATCTCCGTCATTCGTTGGTCGTCGTCTCTGTCGCCCCCTTTCCCTGCCTCCCCCCTTTCCCTGGGCTCGTCGAAGCTCCCCCCTTTCCCAGGGACCTCCTCAGCGCGCCAGCCAAATCGAAGTCGAGCAACGTCGTAATTGAGTCGAAGGGAAGCCCCTTCCCTTCGATCCCTCCCCCGCCGGGGGGGGGGGGCTGGGGGGGGGGGTCAGATACCCCGGGAGTCCCAGAGCCCCCAAAAGCCCCAAGACGGGCCAAGAGTGCCCCAAGAAGTCCAAAGACAGTTCATGAGAAACCCCGAATCGCCGAACGATCTGTCCAAGACGCCTTGACGGCCCCCAGACGGCCCAAGAGGCCTGCAAAGCGCCCCAAGAGGCCTCCAGGAGCTTTCCCACGAGAGCCCCAAGAGGCAAACTCATGGATGTCCCATACGTTTTTGAAAGATTTTGGCGGTCTTGCCTCTTCCGCTTCCCGACGCGCTAAGACGGCCCAAGAGGCCCCCAAGATCGCCCCGAGACGGCCCAAGAGGCCCCCAAGAGGATCCCCTCACGGCCGAAGAGGGCCCCAAGACGGCCCAAGACGCCGCCCAGACGGCCCAGGAGGCCCCCAAGACGGCTGCAGGAGAGTGCCCAGACGTGGGACCCGAACTGACATTTCGAGCTCTCAGCCCCAAGAAGCCCCCAAGAGGCCCCGAAGAAGGCCTCCAAGAGTGCCTCGAGACGGCGCAAGAGGAGCCATGGACGGCCCAAGACAGCCTCAAGAGAGCCCCAGGCTGTCCCAAGAAAGCCTCTGGCCTCCTCTTCCTCTTCCTCCTCATCCTCCTCCTCCTCCTCCTCCTCCTCCTCCTCCTCCTCCTCCTCCTCCTCCTCCTCCCCCCCCCTCTGCTCCCCCTCATCCTGCTCTCCTCTGCCCTTTTCTCCTCCTCGTGCTTCTCCTCCACATCCTTCTCCCCCCTCATCCTCCCTCATCCACCTCCTCCACCCTTCCTCCACATCCCACTCATCCTCCTCTCCCTGCCCCCCCCACTCGTTTTCATCTTCGTCGTTCTCAGGGTCGGAAGCACCAGCCGTAAGGCCTTCGCAATAATCAGAGACGTTTTGGCACACGCCTGGTTTTCTTGGGTCGGAACTGCACCCCACTCGACAACCTTCCTTGACGCGCTCGGTGCCCCAGGGGCATCGCCGGAGCCGCCACGGGTGCGGCGAAAGGAGTCCTGCGCCGAATCCCCGAAACAACCGCGGACGTGTGAAACTTGTCGTCTATACAGCGGAAAGAGTGCCGCACGCGGAAAGTCACGCCCAGAAGCTAGGATCCTATCTTTCTGATGTTTCGAGCTGGATCGATCTGTGCGTGTCCCGGCGCCCAACACCGTGCGAAAACGCCCAGCTCGAAAAAACTCAAGACGCCAGGATCTCGGGAGACCCGTTGAGGCCGGCGGGGACTGCCAGGGGGACCTGTCTGCGCGCGGTCGATATTCTTGCTACTCCTCTGTAAGACGAAGCCCTGTCCTAGAAATCCCTGTCCTACAAGTCCGGTCACAATTAACGAGGCAGAGCATGCCTCCGCCCTCCAACGTTGAAGCCAGCGCATCAACCCTAAGCCTTGCGCGCCCGTAAACTTTTGAAGGGGCCGCTCAGCAAAGAGTACCCCCTGCGCCTCTCAACCTTGCAGAGGCCGCTCGTAGAGGCCTCCTAGATGGGGTCAAAGGAGCGCGCCGCATCGGCGACGCATCGGCGATTTATCGTCGACATCGGCGATGCGACGGCGACGTCGGCGTGGGAAAAATCGGAGTCCGCATCGAGCCGCATCGCCGATGCGTCGGCGATGCGGCGCGATCCTCCGACGCCATCGCCTCCGACCCCATCTGGCAGGCCAGCTCAACGATGACGCATCGTCAAAGTCGGCTACACGTACGAGTGACCCCATAGGCAAGAGCGACCTCTGGGGCGAGACTCCCTATCGTCGTCGTCCTCCTCCTCCTCCTCCTCCTCTCCTCCTCCTCCTCCTCCTCCTCCTCCTCCTCCTCCTCCCCCTCCTCCCCCCCCTCCTCCTCCTCCTCCTCCTCCTCCTGCTCCTCTCTCCCTCCTCCTCCTCTCCTCCTCCTTCCTCCTCCTTCCTCCTCCTCCTCCTCCTCCTCCCCTCCTCCTCCCTCCTCCCTCCTCCTCCTCCTCTTCTCTCCTCCTCCTCCACTCCTCCTCCTCCTCCCCCCCTCCCCTCTCCCTCTCCCCCCTCCCTCCTCCTCCTCCTCCTCTCCTCCTCCTCCTCCTCCTCCTCCTCCTCCTCCTCCTCCTCCTCCTCCTCCTCCTCCTCCCCGTCCTTCTCCTCCTCTCGAGGGCCGCGGAGAGCCCGACCCCGAGCGCCAACGCCGCTGCTGCCGCACCGGATCCAGCCAGCTGGAGACCCCGGTGTGCCCCGCAGCAGAGGGTCCCTCCGGCGAAGGGCCACTCTTACGCGTACAGTCCGGCGGACCTGGGACAGGAGAAAACTCTTCCGGAGCCCTCCGTCGGCCGACACGAGCAGCACGTCCAGGGGCACCCTCCCCAGGAGGCACGGGAGCATCCGGCACCCACGAAGAACGCCAGGGCACCCTCCCCGCACCGACCTCGCTCTCGTGCCCCGGGCCGGCTGCCAGGGGCCCCTCCGCCGCAGGCTCGCTCTTAAGAACGTGCAGCCGACGGAGCCGCCCGGCGTCGCCGCGCCACTTAAGCCTCCGGACCTGCAGCCCCCCGCCCGGCCCCGGCCGGCCCCGCGGGCTGAGAGACCGAGCGGCCGGGGCCTGTCGCCAGGCCTCCTCGGTCCGGTCGGGGACCTCCCGCGGCCGCTCGCACGCCTTCTGCGTCCTCCGCGGGGCGCGCGCCCAAAGGGGGCCGGGAGCAGATCGCGGCGCGCGGATCTCCAGGCACGGGCTCTCCACTTGGCGGCGAGCCTGGGGGGGGAGAGGGGGGCAGGCCTTCTCAGAAGGCGGCGGGGCTTCTCAGAAGCCCTCCGGCCTTCTCGGATGCCGCCCCTGTCTTCGGAGGAAGCTCAGACAACTTCTCAGAAGGCCGGAGGCCTCCCGAGACTTCTGAGAATGCCCGCCCCCTCTGCTTCTCCTGGGCTCGCCCTCGCCGCCGACACACTGCCTAGAGAGATGGGAGATGGTCCCAGAGTGTGAGCCCAGCCCATACAGAAAGATATCGTTTAGCTCTCCCTCTCTCTCTCTCTCTCTCTCTGCGCTGCTGCTGCTGCTGCCGCCGATCGTGCTGAGCCGAGGGCTGAGGCATCGAGTCGAGCATCTCGCGCACTCCAGTGGGGGAGAGCGACAGCGGTCCAAACCTGCTCGCGTCGCAACATGATCGACCCACGAACCCGGATAGGAAGATAGAAATGTAACGCATGGCAGCGTTTTCAAAGACACCTGATTGGGTGACGGGCAAATGCAATGCTGAGTGTATCGATCTTGATGTACCCTGCCAAGTTGCAATGCTGCGTGTATCGATCTTGATCTACCGTGCCGAAGTCTGTGCTGTGCTGATCCGTGCTGAATTGCGATGTGCCATGCCGCCATTGTGCTCTATAGCGTTGTGGATCGAGTCCTCCTTTGCATCCGAGTCCTGACCGAACTGACCTGGATCTTAAACTCGAGCTCCCTGAGCCAATAGTAGCTGCCCCAGAGCTAATTGATAGGGGGAGTGCCAGGAGGACGCGCCGCGGAACGTCTCAAGGGACGCGCCAAGAGACGTGCCAGGGGACGTGCCATGGGGTCGCACCGCGGGACGTGCCAAGGGGACGCGCTACGGAACGTGCCAACGGATGAACCACGGGATGTGCCAGGGGACGCGCCACGCGACGTGCCAGGGGGACTCGCAAAGGGACGCCCCATGGAACGCGCCAAGGAGCGTGCCAAGTTGCAATGCTGCGTGTATCGATCTTGATCTACCGTGCCGAAGTCTGTGCTGTGCTGATCCGTGCTGAATTGCGATGTGCCATGCCGCCATTGTGCTCTATAGCGTTGTGGATCGAGTCCTCCTTTGCATCCGAGTCCTGACCGAACTGACCTTGGATCTTAAGCTCGAGCTCCCTGGACACATAATAGCTGCCCCAGAGCTAATTGATAGGGGGAGTGCCAGGAGGACGCGCCGCGGAACGTCTCAAGGGACGCGCCAAGCGACGTGCCATGGGGTCGCACCGCGGGACGTGCCAAGGGGACGCGCTACGGAACGTGCTGGGGACAAGCGTTTCGCTCAACCCATCCTGTCAAAATCCTCATGCTAGACATCCGCCTGAGCGACCTGGATACGTGGAAACAAGCGTTTCGCTCAACACATCCTCAAAACTTCCTCATGCTAGACATCCGCCTGGGCGAACTGGACACGTGAAAACAAGTGGTTCGCTCGAGACATCCTCAACACATCTTCATGTGAGACGTCCGCCTGGGTGACCTGGGCACGTGAAAACAAGCGTTTCGCTCGAGACGTTTTCAACACCTCCTCATTCTAGACATCCGCCTGGGCGACCTGGACACGTGAAAACAAGCGTATCTCCCGAGACATTCTCAACACATCCTCATGCTAGGCATCCGCCTGGGCAACCTGGACACGTGCAAACAAGCATCTCGATCGAGACTTCCTCAACACATCCTCATGCTAGACATCCGCCTGGGCGACCAGGACGCGTGGAGCCAAGCGTCTCGCTCGAGGCATCCTCAACAAATCCTGGCGCTGGACCTCTGCCTGGGCAACCTGGAGGCGTGAGACCAAGCGTCTCGCTCGAGACATCCTCAAGACCTGGGCACGTAAAAACAAGCATTTCAACCCGAGCGAATTCATATCGAGCGAGTTCGCACCCGCATGACTTCAAATCGAGAGAAATTAAACGATCGGAAAAAAGCGAGCGACCCTCTGAATTCTGGTCAAACCGGGGGGGAACAGAACTCCAAACGCCACGATCCCTCGTAGATTTTACGCCGCGTCCGCGCTCCCGGGGCCTCCTGGGGTATGCTGGGGCGCCCAGGTCCCTCAAGTTTTGCAAAACAAGCGTCTCGCTCGAGACATCCTCGATCTGTGTTGCGCGTGGGGCGCACCATCCTCGAGCGGGCACGCAACACCTCAACATTTTCACGCTTTCCGCGCCGCGCTGGACTTTACCTAGCTTTTTATCAGAGGAAGACGGGGGTCCGCGGACCCTGTTATTTCTCGAGGATCCGAGGTGGGGGTCGACTTTTCTCGAGCGGGCACGCACGAAACGCACTTGCCGCGCCAAATTCGACTCCATTTTGTTTTTTGATGAGAAAAAAGGGTCCGCGGACCCCGTTATTTATCGAGGATCCGAGGTGGTGGGTCGAGCGGGCACGCGCGAAACGCATTTATTTCACGCCGAATTGGACTTGACCTCGTTTTTCATCGAGCGGAAATTCGCCGGCCCTACAGAAGTTGGCACCAGGGGGAATTACCTAATAAAAGAGAATCCTGGGCCTACGCCCTTTCCATAAAAACCGTCAGTCGTGACGTCTTCACGACACGAACATGTCTGGAGCAGAAACGGATTGCGCGCAGCAGCACGTCGTTCGCGCGGGCAGTAGAAGGGACGCGGCAGCAAGCGAAAGAAAGCCAGCATCTGTACTTCCTCAATCAATGCTTGCACTGAAGCGGTCCTAGCGGAAACTGAATGATTTGGCGAAAAAAACCAGCCGATTTTGGTGGCCGGCGGGGTTCCCAGGTTCCCACATCCGGGTTACCGGGTCCCTGGTCATTGGTTACGGGCCGATTTCGGTGGACTCCGGGTTCCTGGGTTCCTGGTCGCTCTCCTTATCGATCAAACCATCCGCTGATTGGGGTTTCTCCCTGGTGCAGTCGTCACGCTTGCATGGTGCGACATGCAACCACCCACGGCGCCGCTGATCCTGCCCGCGGGGTTCCGCCAGCCCCGACGCCCGGGCAGTCCAACCGGCCCACGCTCCGGGCGCGACCTCACAGAAGCCTCAACACCTGGGGCGGGGTGCTTCTGGACACCCTGGGGGGCTTCTCAAGGGGCCGCCTCCCGCAGCAGCCCACTGCGGGCACGGGCTTGGCGGGAGGGAGGGGGGGGCGCCGAAGGCTCGAGCGCGGTTCTCTCCACCCAGCGCATTCGGAGGCGGGGCAGAGGAAGCGCGAGGGGGCGAGGAGGGGAGAGGAAGCCCGGGGGAATGCGCCCCCCTGGCCCCAGCTCTGGACCACCATCGGGCATCTACTGGCCCGGGTCAATCCAGACCCGGGCCAGTCAGGTTCTGCAAGAGCCGACAAAAGCCTGCAGGATCCTGCGAGATCCTGCACTTCAATCCCGGGTCAGTGCAGCACGGGCCTTGCAGGATCCTGCAACATCCGGCGATTTGATTGACCCCCGTTTGCATGGACGCCCGTCCTCTGAGCCCCGATGCCAGCCGTCGTCCCTGTGTCCGGGCTATCGCCGGGCTTGGCGGGAGGAGGAGGAGGAGGAGGAGGAGGAGGAGGAGGAGGAGGAGGAGGAGGAGGAGGAGGAGGAGGAGGGGAGGGGGTGGAGGATGAGTAGGAGGAGGAGGAGGGGGAGGAGGAGGAGGGAGGGGGGAGGAGGAGGAGGAGGAGGAGGAGGAGGAGGAGGAGGAGGAGAGGAGGAGGAGGGAGGGGCGGGCAGGTGACGCGGGGTGCGGGTGGCGGGGGCGGGGTGGGGGAGGGGCAGGGGCGCGCGCGAGGGCGGGGTGGTGGGGGGCATGCTTGCTGGCGGCTCCCGCCACGGAGGCTCTCGCAATCTGGTTCCTCCTCGTCTTCCTCCTCCTTTCCTCCTCCTCCTCCTCCCCCTCCTCCTCCCCCCTCCCTCCTCCTTCCTTCCTCCCCTCCTCCCTCCTCCCCCTCCTCCTCCTCCTCCTCCTCCTCCTCCTCCTCCTCCTGCTCCTCCTCTTCCATTTCAAAAGGAGGCACGCCATGCACATACGCTCTCGGCGCTCCGCGCGGACTTCGTGGGTCGGCGCTGGCCCCTCCTCCCCTTGGCGCTCGGAGCACGCCGAGGGCGCCGCCGAAGGCGCCGCCAAGGGGGGCCGACGCCGATGCGAGAAATCCGCGCGGAACTCCGAAAGTTTACGTTTGCGCAAATGGTGGATCAACGAATAGCTCGGCGGTGGACAAACCTCCCCTTGGTAAACCTCCCCTTAGCAATAACGGCCCAGGGCCGAAATCGAACGACCTGGACCCGCACAAATGACGGCCGCGACGCCCTCTCGCGAACCGAAAACGGCAAATTCCTGAATCGACGTGTCAGGGTAGGAGGTCTGTCCACCTCCGAACAACGCATACTCAAACCTAGAGGGAGGAGGAATGGGGAAGGGCAAGGCGACGAACGCGCTGTAGGTATCGGGGGGGTCCCGTTCGAGCGGTGGCCCCCGTCCGGCAGCACGCAGCCATAGCCCCGCCAAGAACTCCCCCCAATAATCTTAAGGGACGTATGCGTGCGGGTGTTAGCTGCCAGCTCGTGGAAGGTTTCTTCTTCGAAGTTTGGGGAACGGGGGCGGGATAGGGGCTTCTCAGCAGCAACGTCGAGGCGACAAGAGGGGCCGTCCACCAGGCCCAACGTCGGGCCCCTCGACGGCCCGCTCTCCCGATCCTCCTCCTGAGGCTGCCGTCGCTCCCCGTTGCTCCCTGCAGCATGCCCCGCTTGGCCTCCGCAGTCTCGCGCGCTGCTTCCCTCATGATGTTGCACCTCGTTCTCCGTGCTTGAATCCACGCGTCTGCCCTGAGGCTTGGTACGCCATCGCGTGAAAGCGCGGCAAGCATAAGATATGAGGTCTCAGTCCTGCAGGAGCCCTGGTGGCAGTCCATGGAGCAAGGCACATCTAACCTCAGCGGGCCAACGGGAGCGTCAAGGAGCAGAGAGGCCAATGCGATCGTACCCTGGGGTCAGCATGATTACCACATGGCGTACGCACAACTGTCGTCATTATAGCAGTACTGGGCCCATTAATCAAGT